TCACATGCATGCCCACACATTATGAGAGAGTGTAAAATTGTGTATCAAAACAGTGCCCTTCAGTACCAAATGAGTTTTGGCAGATGGCAGCCCCTGGCCAACCTGATCTGGAGGTCAGAAGCTAAGCAATGTCAAACCTGGTTAGTGCTTAGATGGGAAGTAATCTAGGAAGAGTTTCCAGGGTTGTAGACTTGTCTGGGGAATTCAAGAAGCATCTTAGAGCAAGGCCATGACATCCATACTGTTGACAAAAAACACTGCACAGATGTGCCCATGACATCACCAAGAGCTGAGTTTGACTGGAATATCCGACTTGTACTCCGAATGGGAGGGTACATTTAGACAGCCTCCAGATTGTGCCTGACACCATCTGGTGAACTACTTCACGTATGCAGCAATTCTCAGATAAATTTGTCTCCTTTCTATGTCAGACTTTGTCTTTGGAGCTTAGTATGCAATTGAAATGGCATGTATGGCAATCCACAATCTGCACACATCTGGTGGTACAGCATCATCAATGGCCAGATAAGCACTTTGAGAATTGTGATAGGGACACCCAACGCCCTGCATGGTGACTGGAATATTACCATCCTTAACCAGTTGTTAATGCATGGAGGATGGGAGGGCAGGATAAGCCCTTCCCTCCCAGGGGCATCCACAGGGGGGTTCAAAAAGTCAACCATGCAGTTGAGGCCCTGGGACTTCCTTGTGCCAGTCTTCCTTGTGCCAGTCTTCCTTGTGCCAGTCGGATGTATGAACAGACCAAATCCAATAGGTCCACAGATTCGCATGAGATTCCCTACACTGGATTGGATCATGCTGGCTTCAGAAATGAGACCATGAGCCAGAACTGATTCCAAACAACTGGAGATGGAAGGGGCAGAGAGGACAGCTGCTGTTGTGGATGCAAGGGGCTTTGCTTCTCCTTTGGAAGCTGATATCCAACCTTGTTATTCCTCCCATAGGTTGGTACTGCAGCAGTATAAAAATCTGATGAATGAATTAATTAATTAATTAATTAATGAGGATTTTGGGGGTCACCTCTCTCTCTCCTTATTCTCTTGAATATTGTGTTCTTAGGTCTGGCCCAAGATTGAAGGCCAAGTTGACTCACCTCGAACTCATTTCTGTCCCTTTGCAAATGGTATGAAAATTATATTCATTTAGTTTTTGAGTTTTTAAAGCAGATAACCATTGGCTAAAACAAATGTAAATATATACCTATTTTCTGGGTGGGGTTGCTGGGAAGATGGCATTGCTTTGATAGAAATGCAACTACCCATTTCAGACCCGGCAGCTTTGACCAGGGCCTGGGCACACAGCCGCCTGGAAGTTCACACTGCTGGTGGAGGACTGAGCTGCTTGGTTTCTTCTCCATGTGACCTCCAAGGAGAGCTGGTTCCCTGCTGGCAGATGGAACAGAACGCCTGCCACCCTCTGCTTCCATTTCTGCATCTGGTCCTCACTCCACGGGTGAGTAGAGAAAGCAAAAGAGGGAGGGGAAAGAGACGTGTCAATCAAAAGATGAAGAACAACCTGAGAACTAGAAAAGTGAGAAGGTCTCATGTCAGTGGTGCTGCTGCCAGGTTGAAGGGGTCCTGGTAAAAAATTCCCACTAGGAACTACATAACACACCCCTGGTTGCTGCAATCCTCTCTCTCTCCCCTCCCAATTTGTCCCTTTTCTTCTTTTTGGCTTTTTTGTTCTCCCTCCTGCTTTTGCACTAAGCACCAGCTTGCCCTTCCTTCCTTCTGCTTTTAGGACTCTGAGGGACTTGCCAAGAAATTATGCATCTGACATCTTCATTTCTCCAGAAGACCTCTAGGAGATGGAAGGGGTGGGGGCTCCAGCCGTTCTGCCATAGGATTGCTTGTAACAAACTCTTCCCAACTCTCATAGGTACCACAGGAGTTCCCAAGACTGCGAGCTCATCCCAATCTCTGTGTGCAGGTAGGAACAGAAAAATCAAGAAAAATGGGCAACTTTACTTTTCAGTTTCCAAGGATCCTCCTATTTTAGCAGACATGAAACGTCAGAATGAGGTTGCCAAAGTTGCTCTGGAGTTTGGACTGATTTGCAGGAAAAAGGACTGGACAAGAGGATATCTTTGGTGATCTTTGCTTCCTGGAGCTGTTGCTTCTTTCCTTTAGCTCAGGCTGATGTGATTTTATTGAATTTCATCCATAGGATGTGGCTGGATCCATCTCTTAATCTAGCTCAGTGTTTTTCAGCCTTGGCAACTTAAAGATGCCAGGTGGGCCAGGGAATTCTGGGAGTTAAAGTCCACACACCTTAAAGTTGCCAAGGTTGAAAAACCCTGATCTAGATTTCCCTCTTCCAGACAGAGAGTCTTCTAATGCGGCTGTCTTCATGCTGGCCCCTTCCAGATATATCAGGCCATGAGATGCCAGATGGCCAAAGAATGCCAGATTCAGGAAGGCTGTTATGACTGTATCTTTCGCCATAACTTCCCAATCAAGATCACAAAGTTTCTTTTCCTAGGTGCCAAGCCTACTCTATAGTCTACAATTTTAAAAGGTACTGTGATGGAATAGAATTATGAAGGCCAGGCTCAGGGAGATAAACATTTTCTTAGCTCGCCAGAGGAGCGTGGGAGATACAGGAGGATGAGACTGGCAT